GCTGTTATGAAATGCCACTAGCACTCCTTGTCCAGAAAGACACACCAAGGCAGGGATGCAGAGCCTCTACAACAAACCAATATCACAGAATAATTGTTCTTGTTTGTCTTGCTTGTTTTGTTTCCTTCAGACACTTTCTTTCCTGTTCCATCTCTTCTGCACCACCATAGTGTGATCAAACATACAGTTTCATTACTTTCTCATTAATAACAGCATTAATTCCATGGAGATTTCCAAGTTTATTCAAATGACTTTTAGTACAAGCACAATTTATGACCGAGGTGTAATGACACAGCATTATGTTGCAATTAAATTGCTTCACTTCAATTTATGTCAGACACCGAACTTGAGAACTGATTTGGACAGACTAATAGTGAACACCTGGATTTCTTCTTTTATAGCCAGAACTGTCAATATGATCATTCACTCACTATTTCATCGAAAGCCAATGCCTGTTCATTATCCCAGGTTAGAACACTAGGGGCTTCATTATGAAGCAAAATTTTATTTTTTTCTAATTACCCATGTACTATACCAAATAAATAAATTCAGTAAAGAGGTGTTAAAAATAAGCCTTTTAACCTAACCTTCCTATAAACTATTGATAAAAATTAGATTTAAGTGTATTTTTCATTGCTTGGAAAAACTGATTTCAACTAGATTTCAACTATAGACCCTATGTACCGAGGGTCAGGCATTAAATATTGCGTTTTCCCAATTTTTTTATGTTTTATAGCAAAGACATGGTCATTGCCAGTAACTTCTAAAGTAAGATCAAAACCAAGATTCTATTCCTTGCACAGATTGCTGTATTAGCATACTGCAAAAAAATATATACAGTACTTCTAGCAGAGATAAAAACGCCTCTGGTATGAAGTCAAGAAAATTTAAAGTAAAGTCAGTTGTACATGCTGTAACACACTTTTTCTGAAGCTTCTACACTGAAACATAACACAAATTAACTGTCATGTTTAAGCAATTATCTTCTATCAAAACTATCAGAAAACTAATTTACACAAGAGATACAGTAGATGCATTTCCAATTTTCCCTCTAGCTTCCCCAAGACAGTGCAACTGATCTAAACAAATACAGTCAATCACTTGTGAGAGTGTGTATGTGGGGAAAGAGTGCTTTTTAAAATTATTATTTATTCTTAAGTAAAGGGAAGAAGTGTCATCTTGCCTGTAAGGGATAGACTGGAAATACAGAAGAGACATCAGTGAATGTTTTATGTATAGGGATGTTATCCAGATCAATATTCTATTTTTCATTATAAGAATTTTTTCTCACAGAAAACTGATAGTACAAATGGGTACTATTCAATTTTCCAAACAAGCTATTTAGGGTAAAGAGGGAACAAAGTGGAGAGAAAAAAAAATTTATATTCAGCATCCTGAAACTTAATTTACCTCTTGTGACCTTGAGCAAGATGTCTTCTCCTATGTCACAAACCATAGCATCTAGAACATGAACCATATCAAGCCTGGGTTCCTAATCAAAACTTATAAACAAATCAGCAGCATTAGGCAAGAGGAGAGGGGACTGGACACCACAGATGACACAAACAGAGGGGAAACAAAACTTATTTTTTCCTCCGTTCTTTCTAGCAACTCTCAGAGAGCTACAGCAGCAGAATCTTCAAATCACTTTTATTTTTAAGTACAGGGCTGAGTGTTACTTCTACAATTTTCATACTTGAAAGTGATTTGCTGTAATAAATTAACATACACTGCTTCATATATGCCCTTTTTTCTGCATGCAAGATGGCAATTCCACTAAAATCTACCAAAATAGCAGTGCCTATTTTTGAAAAGTTACTAAAAAAGCACAATGCTCAAAAGAACAGTCTTTTTGTTGCTAAAAATATGTCTTCTGGAGATATGAACTACTTTTCCTCTCATATTGTTTTTTTGTTTTCCCTCAACCCTTCCTAAATACCATCTCAAAGCCTTGTGTTAGCATTGGTATTGAACCTAGGGCTTTCTGACTAAGAAAAAGAATATGAGTAATTTCTATGCCAAACTTCATAACATTAAGCTACTTGTAAATTCTTTCTTTTAAATTGAATCAGGCGCTTAAACACTCACATGCCAGGCAGTAAATATTTTTTCAATTGCTAAAGAGATACAACAGAGTTTGGTTTTTTTTTGGTTTTTTTCATCAAAACAAAATAAACCCCACCAATCCACAACCTTTCTGAGCAAAGACAACTGAAGTCAATTGTACATTTTATATATTCTTTAATTAGGACCTATCCCTTACTTCATCATCTATAACCCTGGCAAAACTCTGGGATTTTTCACATTAACAGGACTTGCATATCTATCACTGTCATCTTCTAAACCAGAAAGGTGTATATGTATTTCCACAATAGGATTAAGATTACTTTTCATGAAACTTTACACAAGGGCAGCAACCCTGTGTCCTGCTACCTCTAGCCAAGTCTGTGCCCAGCCCTTTGTCCCATCCCAAAGTTTGGGGTGTCCCTGTTACCAAGGCTCACCTGAGCTAAATATTTACTGTCACCAAGTCAGTTTTAAGGTGGGTCTGTTCCCCTGCCTGCATCTGCATTCATCCCCTCTAAAAGGCAGGCAGGACAGGGACAGGCACAGACAAGGACTCCGACCGTGCTCATGAAAGAAACCATGATCCTCACCACATAACCTGGCTTCATTATCTGAATCCAGCAAGAATTACCCAGTGAATCCAGACCTGGAAACTGGTTCTGATCCAACAGCTACTTTTGCTGAAGCACTCATCTTCTTACAGCAAGAACACCATAAAAATTTACAGAGGACAGACAAGAATTGCTCTTTCTTGTCTACTCCCGCTCTTCTCCTGTACTGGTGACCCCAAGCATTTACCAGCGACATTCAGCACATAAGTCAGGTGTCCATACAAAATTCAGTTTGGAGCCTTGATAGCTAGATTTCTATTGTTTATTTCTCATTCTCTTTGCAACCAGAGTTTGGCACCACTACCAAAGGCGTTACATCTTTAATGATACAAGCTGGAAAATGTCATATTATCATACTGGTCTGAAACTTGAATTTTGTGGAGAATGCAAAATAAAAATTCAGTCAAGGGTAGGGAAGCTGAACAACAAGACAGTAATTGTTGGCACACATACATATATATATTTGCCACAAAAATCTGAATGCAGTGGTGAAAAGCAGGAGATGAAGGAAATAAAAAATGGATCAATTACTGCCCAGGAAAAAAGTGCACCTTGGGAATAGAGCCTATGACAAACAAGCTCACTAAACCAGCAACTATCTGAATACATTTTTTCCCCTCACATTACACAAGATAAGACAATATTGTAGGCTTCTTCCTGCTGAAAGGCCACTAGCAGTTTGGAGTAATGAAAACCCTTTAAGAGACAGTAGTTGTGTAAGGCAGAATTACAGAGGCTTAGCGGATCTATCGGTGATTGATAAAAAACTGAACATAGTACTAATAATATATTTTCAGGTCTTATCATGTGTGTAAATTCATAAAGGGAATTCAAAGGACAGTTTTAGACAGACTCAATATTTCTGTTACAAATAGGCATATACATTATGAAGCGTCCTCTGGCTGAAAGGCAGATGTTTTGTTATCTGAAAATAGTATCGCAAGTTATGTTTAATCCTGTCCAGTCACAGTAATTCTTGCAATGATTTTCCTTACTCTTTTACTATGGGGAAAAAAATCCATGGTCTTATTGGAGTCTTTAAGCAAAAATTACATTCTGGCTCCAAGTGTTTTAGCTTGATTTTTCCAGGGGGAGAAAAAAAAAAATAAATTAATATGAAATGACTAAACAGAAAATCATAAAATTTGAACCACATTGTCCAAGTCCTATCAAATTTTGCAAGATACTAGATGTCTCAGATATGAATTTCACAGAAGTTAGATACCTTTCAGAAAAAATAGGATGCAACAGTGAGTCTTGAGGAAGAGCAACCACAGCTTTTCCCCTTTTCCCTCGAAGGAAAGGCAATCTACTTACTAATCAAAATTCACATTCTATTTGTTGAAACCACAAGCATAACATTCCTAATACACCCAAAAAAACATTGAAAGAGACTAAAATGAAAGGCACACTTGAGGAACATGGCAGGGAGCTAGGGTACCTGACAGTGGAGACTAAAATATATAGGGAATGGACCTAGAAAGAAAGTCAGGTTTAGTAGGTTTTAGTAGGTCCTCTACTCATGAAACAACTCCACAGTTATGAGTATTCCCAAGTCATTGCACCTGAGAAAGAAAACCAAACAAACAACACTTGAAGAGGAGATACATCTAAAACATACACATAGATAATATGAGTAAGTCAATACCAATTAAAAAGAAGGGATGAAAAACACTGCAATTATTATTGTAACTGGATAGTTTTAACTCTCTCGGTAGCATGCAATTTAGCAATGTAGATTTGTGCTGAGGTGCCTAAACAAAAGACAGAGCCTATCTCTCTTCGTCAAAATGTCCAAGTAATATGATAAACATTGAAATAGAACAGTGGAGAAAACCTCCTACCATTTATTCCTCATATAAATAGATACTATTTGTATATGTAGACTGTAAGCACACATGCATCCCTTTAAAGACCTGGCTTTCAAAGTAGATTTCATTTTTTTCCCTGTTCATCTAAGAAGAAAATATCATTCAGGGAAGGCAAATAAAATAAAGAGAATAACTGATGCCCCCCAAAATCAAGAGCAGATACAAATTATTGTTGACTCATATTGTAAATTGCCTGTCCACTACTAAGCTTTTAGAGTAATGCAACAAGGAAAAAAATGTTTTTCAATCACTGCCATCCATCAACTTGGTAAACAAGTAAAACGTATACTCTGCCATCTGCTAGCTATTAGTCTGGGTAATCACAAAATATCATGTAATGTAATCATAAAAAACCACTATTATTACCTACTCTTTCAATTTATAAGCAAATATTTATATCTGTCGAATGATTTTATGCTAGCATGAGGCTTGAACCTTCTGCGCTGCTTACCATCAATCTAGTCGTCAATCTAAGATAAGTCTGTCTCCTGTTCAGTCCTCCTGCGTTTGGAAAATGCTCAGCATGGCAGTGCTGTATTTGATCCCAGAAGAAATCGCATGAAGAGAAGGGTCAGTAATGATCCAGCTGCCAAGGACCTGAACAGTTTAACAGCAATGGCTATGTCAGTAGTCTTGCTCTTGGTCAGACTGGCTTAGATGGTCAGAGTAGTCTTGCTCTTGGTCAGACTGGCTTAGATGCTGCCAAGAAAGAAGAGAATTCTCAGTTCTAGGATTATTTCTTTCTGCACCTTATTCTATTTACCCTTGATACTTTCAACATATCTCCATGAGAAAGAGCATTAGAAAAGTCACAGTTTTCTTAAATTGCCTCTTTTAAAGGTATAGTAGAAATAGCTGTTCTAAAATGCTTAAGTCAGAGGAATAGTGGTTTTTTTCCCCCAGATTTCCAACCAAAATTATCCATTAGAAAGCAAATACATTAGTAGGAAACTGTGCAGTGAAACTAAAAAAATCATACTGAATTTTTTTTTCAGTGATATGTACTATTAAAATATGTTTAAACAATGGAACTTGATCTTGTTCCTAGAAATTTCTCAATAAACTGAAAAGTCTTCACATAAAGGGACATTCACTATTTTTATTAGCTCACAGAACTTGCCAGAGCTATTACACCATCAGACCAATAGCAACAAGAGGTCCAGTTGGCTAGAGCTAAGACACTTATTCCTTATTAACTATTTAAATTTATGGCAGAAAACCAAGTATTTTATGGCAGGGAAGACTCTACTTAAGCAGATTCTTTTTCCCAACAGCTAAATGTCAAAACCAAAGGTAATAGTGTAAGTGACACAGAAGCCATTATTTCAGCTGTACATGACTCTCATTTGTTCCTGAACGTGATCCTCTGCCAACTTGAGGGCTAGAATCTGCTCCTGCAGTGACACAACCAAGTGGAACAGCATACCAGGGGAATACCTGGGGTGCTGGTGGCCTCCCAGGTGTCACAGTAAATTAAAATGGCAACTTTTTAAAGATAGATCTGCTGGGCTAAGACTGACTTTGAAACTCTGAATGGATATGTCTCTCAAGCTACAGAAATATCTTTTCTTTCTTCAGATCAGCTGTTTTAGGGCTAATTTCCATATAATCTGTCAAAAACCTTCATTTTCTTTCATGCTTTGGTCAGTAAAATTGTCGTGTTCCACAAACACTATCAATAAACCTTAAAGGTACAGTCCAGGATCCCAAATCAATTAAGAGTGTAATAACACAGTCACAGGGACAGGAGAGAGGTTATGCTTTTTAAAACACAAGTATGAAGTCTGCACTACCAGAAAGAGCAACCTTCTTTGCATCATGGGGTAAACACCTGCAGTAATTAGGGTTTTCTTTGAGGCAACAGCCACTCAGTCTGGCATATGGTGCTGCCAATCCAGTTTTGGAGCCCTTTAAGTAACAGAGGTCATCCAAACTACTGAAATAGTTTGTAGAGGTACATCAAACTACAAAGGAGCAGACTCAACCAGATCTCTCAAACACATCTGTCTCCCAAATCTAAACTTGTCATCCTTTTCCAGGTGTTTGTTAAATATTTCTGCAATTTGTATGGCAGAATCTCTTGCAATGGAGAGGAATTAGGAGTTGAAAACCCACATTTAAAAACTATATTATCCATGCTGCAAGGTGACCATGAAAATTATGGAATGAAATGTGTATGATGGCAAGTGAGATTTCAAATTTAAAGCTAAATATTGATACATAAACTGAGAAATGTTCGTTTAGTTTCATGTATTTGATACAATATTTAATTATGTGTTTGCTGCAGAATCCATTACTGTTGCCACAGGAAAACAGTAGCAAGATTGTATGTGCCAGCATCACTCTCTCATTTTCTCACTTCCTAAACTTTGTGTGTCTATCGTATTTCATTTTGATATCTACATTTATTATATATAGTATTTATGAAATTTAAAAATTAATGCTGTTATAAAAAGTATACATAGATAACAGAAAAGAGATAGTGATTTTAAGATGGTTTTCAGTCTAGGAGAGGTTTCATTTCTTAGGAGATATCCTCTAAGTCTATTCAGCTTGACCACTAATGCAAATTTTTACTTCAGTGACTGAAAATGTAAAGGAAATCTCTAAAAGCAAAGGCATTTCCTTTTTTTTCTGGATCAATTCTGTAATTATGCCATATGCTATATGACAGAAATAAGGGAATTTACTGATTAACAGAAACAGAAGACTTCAGTAAATGATTGCACAATATTTTTCAACTAGACTGGCACAAAGAGAGAAATAAGTGGGAGGGAAAGGGCAAGAGAAGGGAAATTTAAAACCAAAAATTAAACAAAAACCCACAAACAAACCAAAAAACCCGACACCCCAATGACAAACTAAACCTTCTAGACTATGCCAATTTAAATTCCCTCTGCAAAATTTTAAAACAGGCTCTTTCCCTAAAGGCCCATGCCTCTGTCACTCTTATAAAACACAGGGAAAAGGGAATGTCCCAAGAGAAGAACATACACGGATATGTTTAACCAGAGAAGCTGACTGACTTATATTAACCATACAGTGTACAGTAAAGTCATAAAACAGTTTGCTGTCTTTAATTCTATACTTTTTTTAGAAAAAGATATTTTTCACTTCTTTACAATACTTTTTATTTAGTCTAGCTAGGTTTTTTTTTTTTTAGAATTCATAACTTCTGATCACTTCAGAAGTTTTAAGACCAACTCCACAGAATCACACCCAAAAGGCTCAGTTTGTAGCCTTTGCTGGTGGCTGCAAAATGAATGCAGAAAAATGCCTGCTTGGCCATTTTTCCTGCTGCATTAATACAGAGGGAAATTTACCTCTGTCAATGGTTGACAAGATAAGCTGCCAGCACTCAAACTAAAAATGTTTACTAGGCTAACAAGGCAGCGATTCCCTGAACAGTGGCAGCAGAGGGGAGCACTGCGCTCTCGTCTAAAGGTACAAACTTGACCTCAACAAGAACGACTGCTCCATCTGCCAAACTAGCCACAGTGAGCGTAGGCAAGCGCAAACAAGACAATCCTGTCGTGCACCATGTCAGAATGGTATGGGTAACAGACATGCATGTCAACATAAAACTGCTTCTGGGAAGTAAAAAAACACAAACCCCGAGGAGCAAATTGCTATCGACTCAGAATTGTATTTTGATCTTGTACTGGGGTATTGGATATTCCAGTGATTGATGTATTGTACTGTTAAGCCATAACATATTTTGAAGACAAGGGAACACAGGTACTTGACTGAAGAGATGGAAAGTGGGATGTGATGTGCAGAGCTCAGCCACCATGCAGGGCTGGAGCTGTGAAGAAGTCACAGCGGCAAACTGCACAGCAAGTTGTCAATGCCACGGCTGAAGAAGAAGTGGCGAGGAAATAGGATATGGTGAAGTAAATGTAGAACTAGAACTCCACTTTCTCCTTCCCACACTGCCAAGTGAATCTCCACTAAATGTATTACATTTTACTCATGATAAGAAAACATAATTGCCACTTGAGAAAGTGTATCTGCAATAAATATCAAAGCATATGTATTTTCTAAGAAAGAAAAGGCAGCCTAACCAGAAAATAAATTATAGCTATTAATTCCCCACCAAAATTTCTGACGTTATCCATTATATGCATGAAATTAATGGCTGTAAGTTCATGACAAGCAGATATTGCTAAAGCAGCCCACTACTTTTAAGTGACAATGCTCTCACTTGAGACATCAGTTGGGGAGATATTAATAATCCAAGTACAGTTTAATTTCTTACAATGTAGTCAATATTTTAACTATCCATAACAAATGGCCAAACAAGTTTTTAACCCTACAACAAATGACTATGCAGCATTTTAACAATCGATAGCAAATGATGGAACACAACAGTAAAGTATCTTCCCTAGCTTTAGATGACTAAGTAAGGAAGATGAATATTGAAGAGCCTTGGATGCAAGATCAGCACACCTATTCACATTTTCAAGAAATACAAAATCAAAATTATGCATAAATTGAGGATTTACTTGCATATCCTTTAAGATACAAATAACACAATATTATCAGGAAAAATTTTTTCTATTCAGCATTTCACATTCAAATAAGTATTTAGTAAAAGTTTAGGTAATATATTAATAATATATATAACTAGTAATATAATTACTAGTATTAATATATCAATATTAATATATTACTATAATTATAAATTATCAAATTCTATATAATATTTAAATAATATTTAATATATATTATAATATAATAGAAAATTATAATTATATATTACTGTAGTAATATAGTATAGTATGACTATCTAAAGGAAATTTTTTTCATACAGCTAAATCTTAAAATCATCAACAGGTTTTGTTAATAACCCAGACTCCAGCTTTCTCAGCCTGGACTCACATAGCTGGGTGGAGTCCTTCATGTACTGGATTTCCCTTTAAGACTATGTATGAACAGATAGATACTTACGTACCTGATAAAAAAATAAGAATCAATAGAAGATTAGCAGCAGGATTGTTACAAATGCTGTTTGTACAAGCACTGTTACACCAGCAGATATCATAAGGGTATATCCAGGGATTCTCAAAAGTCCAAATGCCTGATTCCTACCTAATAGAAATAGGGTCTTAACCCTTGTCTCTTGAAAAGAGATTATTACTGAAACTCAGAATAGGGGCTGTGCTCCCTTTTTCAAGGCAAGGTCCGTTCTTGGCAATTCAGTTCACGCACTTTGGGTTCAAGTGGCTTTTAACAGGATCAAAGACCAACATAAAAATGTAACTGTACCAGGTACATAGCTGTTGTTTACTTTGTCCCTTGCAATGGTGATCCAGTGACCTACTAAGTTAACCTTAGGTGAACAGAAATCTGTAATATTTCACTACATCACAATCCACTCCAACTTCTACATTTATATTACAGAGAAGACCCATTTCTACTTCTAGTATGAGCAGGTATTAAGGGATCTTAAAAAAAAAGAAGTCCCAGAAAAATAAACCACAAAATTTTCTCTAAAAAGATATAATATTAACAATATAACAGGTAACAATAATGTTAGTGTACTTCTTACAATATTTTTAAA